TATATGTTTGTTTGTAAGTAGCCAACAAGCTTGTGTTCTGGTGCTTGTGTAGATTTTTAAATCTTATGATGGAAGCCAAGCCAGAGCAATACCAGCTACCTGAACAGATTTTAAGTTGGCAGTTGCACTTATTGACACTAGAGCACTGTTGATTTTACAAGTGATGTACGGAGATGACATTGAGTCCAGCACGGCTATTTGAGAGTTGTTTCATTTGTATCACAACACTTGCCTTCTTGGATTCATTGATTTCTGAGTTAGATGGTACTGCAGGCACTGATGGCATTTTGGGTTGGTCAGTCTTTTTTTTCTACCTTTTGTGACTGAAGCCCAGGTTGATTGTGGAGGAGGGGCCAAGATCAATAGTTGTTGTTCTAGTCAATCCAATCTTTTGACTATTTTCTCTAAGGTACTACAGTTGGTTATGGTAGCTTGAAGCTTATTGACTGGTACAAGCAAAGCATGAATCTATTGTTTTTTTAACTTTCTAGTTGGGCTTGATGAGGAGAGAGCTTCTTTCAAAAATTCAGATATCACACTAGCAACTAGTATTGGTGAGTCCGTTTGTTCAATTTCAAATCCATGCAGATTGGATCTTGTAGATAGCGGGGGGGGATCTGGAACAGGAGGGGGTGGCATGGGAGTGGGAGGTTTATTGGTCTGAGGATTATCAAAGATTCATGAGTAGACCATTCTTCAAAAACTGATGTTGTAGTTCCGAGGAGCCCTAGGCTCTTGGCATGGGTTGCTCACCGGCCGGCGGGCGCCGGTGGCCTGTGTTTGTCTGATCCGCCCTCGCCTGACCATCGAGGTATGTATTGACCGGATCAGCCAGTCTGCCTGAGGCCGTCAAGGGACAGCTGTGTGACAGACCTGTGAAGTCTGAGCGGGTAGACCCCCGTGGGAAGGTGGGGGTGATCAAAGGCAGCCATCGATCAGCCCAGCGAAGCACCAGCCAACCATCAACATGCCACCCAAGAAGACCCATCCCATCTCCGCCTCAGCGTTCATGGACGACCTGCTTTCTGGACTGAAGCCTACCCTAGACAGGAATACTCGAACTCCAACACCGCCCAACGCCTCTGAAGCTGCAGCTGGCTCGTCCCTACCCCCTCCGAATTCTGGCCGCAGAGTACCTAGCCCTCCGAAGCTTTCAAATCAAAGTCAGATCAGTATTCCTTCAAAAAACTTGCCACATTCAGTCAAGGAACCCTCCAGTGACGCGTCGGAGTTGAATAATACATCTGCGGATTTGTTGGAGGGAATCGAAGACTGGAGTGATTTCGAGTTAGGCCAGGACGGATCGGAAGGGTCAACGAAAGGCGTACCAGAAGCAGTGCCACTCTGTCAAAGTTTCGTGAAATGTCGCGTCGAAAAGGTCGAAGGTGACGCGCAATGGAATTCGCTCAAAAGACGGATGGAAAGACGCGTCGAAGTGGTTCTCAAGTCCGATGATAACCAACACAAGACCTTGGTGCTATGCGACGAATGGACTGAACTATCACTAGACCAGGGTAACCCTCTCAATATTGTTTCCTTCCCCGGTTCCCCACCCATCAACTTCCAACTCGATCCCTTGGTATTCTCGAGGGCCGAGCCTGGACATGTACTCATCCTATTTCCGTCTCTCCTCATCAGCGCCACCGTTGTCTCCAACGCTCCCTTTTGCTCGAGGAGGAGCGTCCTGAGCACCCGGTTGAAGATCAGCTCGACTGAGATCGGCGAGCCTATCGTCAGAGGAAACATCGTACATGAAGTCATCCAGAATTCCTTACTGCCAACTCAAGAAGAAGAAGAAGATCAATCAAACCCCGCCCTTCAGCCCACTCCAAGTATTCCCGACACTTGGGAAATCACTCGCTTGTCCGAAGAAGCCCGAAAGGCCTGTATCAGACACCTGAGTGACTTATTCATGATCGGCAAATCTGCTGATGAAGGCGTCAAGATGGTCTCTGAGCATCTCCAACAATTACCTTCCTGGTCCAAAAAATACCTGATCAATCGCAAGGAGAACGGGAAAATCATCTTGAATGTCAGTATTCCACTCTTTTAACTAGAGCATGAAAAATCACATTCTTATTCGGTTCTCTCCTGTTGTCACGTCTAAGAAAGATGCCTTGTTAATCGACCCGCGAAGCAATACCCAGCCGGGAGGAGACGACCCGAGGATTGGAATCACTGGCGTGCTCGACACTGAAGAAGAAATTTGGTCCCCTAAGTACGGACTCAAGGGGAAAATCGATGTCACCGTACAAGCACACGTCATCGAAAAATCCTCGAGTATCAAGAATCATTGTTTCGATCTCTCGAACCTTCAGATCTTTCCCTTAGAAATTAAGACGGGTCGTCAGCCTAGTGGGATTGAACACATTGCTCAAACGATGCTCTACACTCTCTTACTAAGCGACCGCTACAGTAAGTCGATTGGTTTTTTTTCATCTAGGGATGATGATAGTCCCATTATTTCATTTTTTTCCCTCATTGATCAATTATTACTGAAACTTGCAGATCTTGACATCACTGCCGGGCTGTTATTCTACACTTCGCGAGATGATTTGATACGGGTTCGAGTGGTCAAAGATGAACTACGACATTTGGTGATGGCCAGGAACAGATTGGCTCGCTTCATGCATTCTGAACCTTCCTACTCGCCCGAAATAGCCTTGCCTGACCCCACTGATCTCGAAGATCTCGAAGATCTAACGGTCTGCGATTTACCACCCGACAACCCTATTCTTCCTGAACCGATTGACAACGATCGCGCTTGTTGTAGATGTTTTGAGGTCGAGGGCTGTATGCTTTATCGTAAAGTAAGCATTTCTCTTTCTGATATGATTCTATTTTTTTTTTTTTCTTTTGTGTTAGGTTGTTAATTTGGGATATGTTTTGTCAGACGGTTGAGCAAGTGGATTCGATCCCGCCCCAGAAAGGAATCGACCGTCTCCGAGAACTGTACGAGCGTAAGACCTCCCATCTTACGCCAGTCCACACCGAATTCTTTCGACGATGGGAGGCCTTGGTTTCGCATGAGGAGAAGGAGCTTGGGAAGCTGAAGAAACAGATCTGGACGATGTCCGCGGATGAGAGAGAACAAACTGGGAATACCTTAGCCAACATGGTCATAGACTACACATTTGATGTGAACGATGGATCGTATGACCCCACATCGATGACCAAGATCCATCGACATACCTACCGTCTCAAACGCTTTCAGACGATACCCAACTCCACCCCTGATGATGACAAGGCCTCTCTCTTGTTCGGGCACATGAGCAAACACGATCCAGTCGTCATCTCAATCGAAAAGAAGAAGCTGGCAATCGCCCGCGGCTTCATTCTTGATCTAACCCCAACTACCATGACCGTTGGCTTGGATCATCGGTTGGAAGAAATCGGACCATTACCCGTTGGTACAAATCTTGCGGCCTTCTTGACTCATTATGCCTCCACACAACCTCATGGCTCCTCAGCATCCCTCGTTCGGTATAGAGTCGATAAGGATGAATTACTGGCTGGAATGGGCAAAATTCGTGATAATCTGGCCCAGCTGTTTCTGGAAAACGGACACAGTCAACTGCGTGAATTAGTAGTCGATTTGAGAAAACCCAGGTTTGATTCTTCAAACATCGAAACCTTGACGGAGAATAATCGGGCTGCCCATTTGAATGAAGAGCAGGTAGGAGTGCTCACCAAAGTGCTGACTGCGAAAGATTATGCATTGGTATTAGGCATGCCGGGCACGGGCAAAACAACGACGATAGCTGAGCTGATCAAAACGTTGATCGGAATGGGCAAGACGGTCTTATTGACCTCCTACACGCATTCGGCAGTCGACAACATCCTGTCCAAGCTGGTTGACTCCAAGATCGACATGCTCAGACTTGGGAACGTCGACAAAGTGTCGAGCGCTTTGCGGCGGTTCACGCTCCATGAATCCGACCCCTCTCAGACTATGGAGGCATTGGAGAAGAAGCTGATGTCCCCGCCATTGGTGGCCACGACCAGTCTCTCGATCAACCATCCACTCTTCACCCGGCGGTCCTTTGATTACTGCATTGTGGATGAGGCCTCTCAGGTGACTCTCCCGACCTGTCTCGGCCCACTGCGTCATGCAAACGTCTTCGTCTTGGTCGGCGACCACTACCAGCTGCCCCCGTTAGTTAAGAACCAGAAGGCGAAGACAGGAGGTCTGGAGACCTCGTTGTTCAAGCTCCTGACCGAAGCACATCCTGATGCGGTGGTCTCGCTGACGATGCAATACCGAATGAACGAGGACATCATGAGTCTCAGTAACGCGTTGATCTACGAGGGACGACTGCGTTCTGCCGACCAACGGATTTCCGACTTGGGTCTCGAGATCCCATTAGGGGTCGTCACTGACTCTTTCCATAAGGATGACCCCACAGAATGTCGCGATGCTTGTTGGATCTCTGATCTCATCCAACCTAGCAGAAAAGTCGTCTTTGCTAATACGGATCTCTTGCATGGAAAAGAATCTAAGATGGGTAATCAACTACAAAACGAAGCAGAAGCCTATTTAGCCCTCCAGGTAAGCCACCCAAATTTGATTCCTTCTCTATCATTTTGTTTTGTTCCTCCTTTGTTGGATACAGCTGATCAAGGGTTGAATAAATTTGATACAGTTGGTTAACGCGCTCGTTGAAAGAGGGGTACCTGCGTCTGAGATCGGGATCATTGCGCCGTATCGACAACAGATCAAGCTGTTGACGTCCCTATCCCACGCCCACCCGGAGCTGGAGATCCTGACGGCGGACAAATCGCAAGGCCGGGACAAGGACTGCATCATCATGAGCATGGTCCGCAATAATGCCGAGGAAGAGGTGGGCGAGTTGCTCAAGGACTGGCGGCGGATCAACGTCTGTTTGACTAGGGCTAAGCGCAAGTTGGTCCTCTTCGGATCCAAACAAACACTCAGACACTCCAAGGTCTTGAACGACTTCTTCGAATTCATTCTTCAGAGGAATTGGATCTACGATCTTCAGCCCGATTGCATCGCCCTTCATAAATCTTTGGGCCCCTCTTTTCGCTCTTCACTCGCTCTGGAAAAAATCCCTTCTACTACTTCTTCGTCAACCGTCTTGAATCAACCATCGAACACCCCCTCTTCTTCTACAACTAAACGCCCTAATGATCACCTTTCACCCTCTAAAACTCGTACCAAAAAACTTAATTCTCATCATCTTTCTATGTCTGCTACCAAGTTTGGAGTCTTGCGTGATGTCACTGTTAATATTCTTGGTGACCCTTCCTCTTCCTCTTCTCCTTCTAATTAATCTTTTCTCAATTATATTGAGTATATAATCTTTGGTTGTATACTTGTTTTATTCCTTCTTTCTTTTCTCTTGTGTTTTTTTTTTTCTTCTTCTTTGTTTTCTTGCGTAAAAAGTTCTACTACAACATTGGAATCTATTCATACAGACGCTTCTGTTTCCTTTTTTTGTAGAACAAAAACTGGGTGAATTTCTTTTCCCTCTCCAGCCCTAGAAATACCCAAAAGTGTAATCAGACTTGTGTTTGTTAACTTGTGTTGAAGTGACCATCATTTTTTACATACAGTTCATTTCTAATTCTCTTGATCATACTTATTTTTTTCGTAAGGAATGGAAATATTGAAGTAATGTAGATATATCCTTCAATGATTTTAGATTACTCTTGATAAAATGTTGGACTGTTTAAGCAAGAAAAGCAACAACGACAACATTCATAATAAAGAGTTGTGTAAGTGAGAGAGAGAGAGATGGAGGATAGATTAAGGTGAAGTAAGGAATGGATGACGAGGTAGTGGATGTATGTCTGTGTAAGTTTGCTTCGTGTCGTGTGTGTGTGTGTGCTTGTGGGGTCGAAGTGTGTTGGCTCTATTTGAGAGGGAGAAAGGTGGCATGGATTGACATGGGATTATCTATCATCCGGACAGAGGGCACCATTAGTTTGGAGTTCTGTGTCAAGGCCACAATCCTCTGTAACCAAGTTCTGAGATGGATTGTAACGCTCTAGCGGAAATTAATTGTTGTAAATATGTTAGTATGGGACAATGTCCATGTGAAAAGTGCAGGCTTCAGAAGATTGTCCAACACTCACTGCAAATGGAGTGTGCAAATCAGATCACATAGTCCAAACACAACTTATACGTCGAGGCTGAAGTGCCTGATTTCGCCATGATTTCCACAAGCGCCGCCGACATGTCTCTGGATTGAGCTGGAAGATTTAATGGATGTCAATTATGAGAGAATGTGTCGAAGAAATGGAGCGTCGAAAGATTTCCTGCAACTCACTGCAAATGATGTGTCCAAATCAGACGACAGAATCTCATCAGAAATGGGGGGCGAAGCCCTCTCATTTTGTCATGATTTATCACAAGGGCCTTTGGCGTGTCTGTGCGACCACCGGACGTTCTGAGTGCTTCGAGTCCTCCGCGCTTGTTCGGCCCTCCCGGAGTGTTGTGAAGCGCAGTCCCGGCGGGTGACATGTTTCATGGCATTCCTGTGGAAACTTTGATGTCCTATCGCCAAGGATGGCTAGGCAAGGCGCAGAACGCTTGGCCTGCCGTCTGAGGAGCTCAAATTCATTTTGGAAGTGCGTTGGGATCGGAGCAAGTGATTCACGCTTGGAAACTCATCCTGTAGCTAGCTGGGTTTGGAAGTCGAGCCACAGTTCGGAAACCGAGCCCAGCCGGTGTCGGGCCTCCCGGGGCGGCTCGTCGTCAACAGGGCTGGGACTGTGCAAGATCTCGTCCCAGCTGGATGGCAGACTGTTGGTCCGGGAGCCTCGCGAATGAAGGGGACTTTCTTGTCTGATTCATTCCCGACAGATTCCAGAAAAAAAAAAAAAGAAAGATTTAGTCAGTCTGTGGATGGATGGAGAAAGAAAAAAAAAGCGGAGATGGGGACTGACCTTGAGATCTGGTCAAACCATACCACCGTGCGCTTCGTCTGGCCCTTCTGGAACGGCGAATCGGCAAGAGCGACGATGGTTTGGTTGGTGAGCTCTGCGGCCGTCTTTCCGCTCGAAAGATCCGTCTCCCTACGTCGAGAGATGTGGTGGTGAAGCCGCTGAGAGTCGAGAGAACGTCTCCGGCTTGAACTGTTATTTGTGAATGGAAAATCCAAGGGGCTTCGGACGACGACGTAGGAGGCCTCAGTGGGTAAGAGCCTGGTTGGACGCGAGATTTTTTCCTTCACGCTTTGGCTGTCTCTCTTGGGCCGCTCAGATACTTGCGACCAACGTAAGATCCCAGGACGACGGATGGAGCAGAACGAGCGTCTTGTGTCTTGCTGAGTCGTCGCTGGTTTATCTGAGATGACAGTCCCAGCCTCCAAGTCCTTCTCGGCTTCTCTAGGTTTTTCCACCACCGCTGGTTTCGTGTTGCCGGTTTCTTGGCGGGGCTTTTGAGGGCGCTTGTCGATCCAGCTTTGAAGACAGGAAATCATGTAGGCAAGGAGGAAGCCGCCGATGATCATGCCCAGTAGGACTGCGAAGACGCCGAAGGAGCTTACTGTTTGATGGCCATTCTCAGAGTTGGGAGAAGACATCTACAACCAACAATCTTTATCCTCTGAGAGGAAAGGTTATAATAGATGTTCTCGATCAAAATTGTGGGTCTAGACGTATGTGCTTCAGTCGGTACAGGTGGTCATTGATTTTTGCTTGAGAAAGCTGAAGGGGATTAATGTGTGGAATCTTCTGTATAAGTTGGAGATGAAGTTATCGCCAGAGTGCCCGCAGGAAATGGATTCCGGGTCAGAGATTGGAAGACTTTTGATAAAAAGAGGGTATGTGGGCCAATGGAGGAGCACTCGACGTGAGGTGTAAAGAGAGTCCCAGTGCTCCTCCTCGCAGTCGGTCGAGTTGATATATGTTTGCTTTGTTCAACCTTTCGGAGAGAAACTTAGTTCCCTCAGTGGATGTGTTTCAAGAGTGAATTGATGATGCGATGTCGGCAAAGCTTGATGACCCCACCACAACCTGTTTGACCGGCGGCCTATGTAATATCCCTTTTTTGTTTGCTCCGGGAAACGTGTGAGGCAGGTATGAGCGAGGAAAGCGATTGGTTTTTTTTTCTCCTTCTTCTTCTTCTTTGTCTTGTTCCCGTTGCCGAAGAACAAGCTTAGCGAAAAGGGTCTGTTGAAAAGAAGATGGAGTGCTAGTGTGTCTAGTTGGTGCTATGCTAGAGGATTGAAGGAGTGTGTAAGGGGTATGTATCCAATGAAAGTGATGAAAAGCCTTTCGATTATCTATCAGTGGAAGTATCCGTCTCACCACTGATATCACCTATGCCGCTGGTTGTCGATATATAACAAGAAGAAGAAAAAAAAACAGGCAGCACCACTGGAGTATGTAAGCTGAGTTGAAGAGCTTAAAGGGTGAAGCCAACGAGTGAAAATGGGTGGGTAACTGCTACAAAAGAGGCACCCGTGGAGCCTGAGTTGCCGGTTATGACAGCTTTGATTAGGCACACGTACGTAGTCAGAGAGATATTAGCGCGACAAAGGGGTCATACATCCTTACATCAACTTGGCTGGTGATGTTGTCGAAGGCTGCGATCCCTGCAGCTTGCAGGCTCTTCTGAACGACCAGGAGTGTGCTGAAGCTGGAGAAAGTCGGGTTGTCGAGTTTGATCGATGATAAGGTCCAAGGCAGCAACGGTTGCCAATGTGCCTCCAATCTATTGGATATATCCTTTACAACCGCGCCATCTCCCTGCAGCTTCTGAAGATAACCCTCTCACAAGCCTGGTCGGGAGAATCAGTTGTTGCTCGATCACCTGTACTCGCTTCCGGTCACCAATCAATGGAAAAGTTGTCAGCAGGAGAAAGGCTACGGCGGCCCCAATGGAAACATGAGTCTGTAGTCTCTGTTCACCCTTCTCTTCCACTGTTGCACAAAACACTCCGGCGTCCCGCCCACACACACACAATCAGTGAGAGTCGAGCCGATGAATCCTCGGGTATGCGTCGGAGCTGATTTGATGAACGTTGGTCTGGTAGTGTATGTTGTATTATGTGACGCGACGGCAAGGGATCAAACCTCAGCCACTACTTCCTGCTTTCCGTCGGAGGGAGATCTGTCTCGCCGAGAAGCACTACACACAGACATGGCATGTTGATGAGGGCGCCGGATAACATGGTGCTCCAAACAAGCCAAGACTCGAGTGAGTTCGAGCGAGTCCGACATTTTGATGCCCTAGTGCACTCGAGATTAAACTCTCAAGGCTTTGCTGGCCCGTTACATATTTACATATCTGGCACTCATCCAAAAGATTTGACCAGAAGGATGACGCGTGCCCGATTAGCACAAACGGCTATCGGACGTCCCGGCCATCCATGCGGAAAAAAGCGTCCCGAGCCGCAAGCGGGAACGTTTCTCTTGAGCAGTTGTACTTCGCGGTGGTAATGCCTGTGCGAAACTAAGCATCCGATCTAGTGAGGCCTTCGTGTTGAAGAAGTTCAGAAAGACGGGATGTCAGGCAGGCTGTAGCTGAAAGAAAATAAACTTGAAGTGACCTTGTTGAAATTTTTCACCATCTTGGATTCCGAGCTATTGCGAGGTGGGTCTAAAGCTTTCTTTGAGCCGTGGTCGGTTGCTTGTCTATGAGTACGAAAGTTTCTGGTTGCTTGCCTGTGAAAGTCTCTCTGGTCTTCAGTCGCAAGTCCCCAGTTGTCCTTTGATGCTAGTCCATCACCCAATTTCGTGCAATTTTGGATTTCTCATGAAGCAATTCAAAGTGGAGTATATTGTAGCCCTTCACCATCCTCAAAAACCTTACCAAACTATCGGGGATTGCAATTCTTGCAAATCGACTTGAGCTAGTGGCACTTGATCAGGCCTTCCCAGGACCGGCTGGTGATGACTCTTCAAAATATCAAACATCTCCGAAAGTTGGCACCATGTGACTTATGCGAAAGGGCCTAACAGGAGCTCACCCAACGATCAGCTTTCTTTTTTGATGGTCGGCATGACATGCAAACACGCGACTGGCGGTGTCATGTGAGCTGCTAATTCGAGTGGGCGTTAAACTTGCTGTAGGTTAAGTTTGCACCTTTGCGCCTCCGAATGGGGCCTGAATATCTTGCCAGTTGTTGGAGTCAGTACACACAACTTCTTACCGAACCAAACTGTCTTAACATCTGGCTCTTGGCAAAATACAAACGGCTCGATTGATCAATTTGAATGTTCCTTCTCTTGTAAGTGACCAACGTCAAGAATGTACCGGTGCAAGAATCCAGAATACGGCAATTCTTAAAACAGACACAGATAACTCTTGGCAGCTCTGTATGCATGCAGATCAGTCATCTACTTTCAACACATTTGTAAGAGACATCATGGGGCCAGGACATGTTTTCAAAAATCCCCGAATGATCTTTTTGTGAAGAGAGAAGCTTTTGTATGGTGGATATACTTACCGGTACAGGCATGGGCCAAGGAAGAGCTGCTTGGCGCAAGAAGCTGGTCGACTCTACGCCCCTGCTTGGATCTCCAGATGGGTGCAGAGGACCAGGGAAGCTGTTGAGCATGCACCAAAATCGCGACTTGCGACACGTTACAAAAATGAATGCAGCTCTTGTGCACAAGATCCTCTCGATAAGTCAAGCACAAGCAGTAGGACTCAGGAGTATGGATTGGGCAAGATAAGAGATGGCTCTTCAAGGGCCATAATATAGTTTTCCCCTGTCCTTGCTGCAATATATAAGTAGGCTTACCGAACCCAGCCGACTTCTTCACCGGTGGACTTCTATCGCTTGATCAAAAGGCCTATCCATCTCCCCACCAGACTGGACCACATAAAAAGTTAATACATACTTAACAAAGATAAATCATCACCCAATCAACTTAATCAAAACCAAAATATGAACATTCTATTGTACTTGATACTTCTCGGCACGTTTGTCCATCTCAACTTAGCCACCCCATTGTTCTGGGAACCGTTGGACTTCAACTTCAGCTCGTTTGGACGGTTGGGTGCCTTGATCAAGGCGGTCAGCCAGACCAACGAGTGCTTCGAACATGTCCCCAAATCGAACCCTGCTATTCCTATCCTTCGTTCGAAGTCTCCAGGCGGAATTCCACACGTCAGCACCGTTACCGCCTTCAGAGATGACGCCGGCGCCCCGATTCGCAAATCACAGCTCCCCATGCACAACACTTGACCCAGTGAAGCAGATCAATGCTCCGTTTTTCAAGCTTCAACGTGGAACAATGTGCGTTTATTTTCGTTATTGAACTTCATTATATCCTTTTACATGACTCTAAATTTCCCTAATCCTCTTTGTTTCTTCCTCTTCACACCTTCTCGATGAAAATATAGAGATAAATACCAGAAAAGCGCCCAAAAATCTTCTCCGTTCTTGGGTGATAGGGGACTTCATAAACAAACACTGCTTTTTCTTGAAATACCACTTTATGCGATCTTCAAGGCCCATTCATGTATATATTGTACATTTCCCTTGGGCTCATAAGCCTATACATCTGATCTATTTTACCTGCGTTATTGATTGGATCATGCCTCGGTTGTCTAAGGCAAGAAAGACAACGCATTCTCAAGACAAAAGCAGCAGGCAGAGTTTTGACCCGGTGCTTCAATGTCGGAGACGGATTTCACCCATCCCTTGCGCTGAACCTGTGGGTATCTGACCTGGGAAAGGTTTTGCTGGATCTCTGATCCCTTTTGTTGCCTTTGGGTCCGTGTCACAACCCTCACATCCGTTAATTTCATGAAATTAAAAAAGTGTTGCCAAAGGGGACACCTTCCACGTTGAACCAAAAGCAAATCAAACATGTCAGAGATCTAAATGACATCAATTCTTATCCTTATCACACTGCCAAAGCAATTGTGTCAGATAGCTGTATCTATGATTATATCAGATATCTTCATGTGATGTTGCATCAGTTGGAGTGCCTGATTCAATATACCAAAATTGAATCAGGCACTTCAACTATTTTAAAATCACACAAAACTATTTGATATAATCACAAATGCAGCTATCTGATGCAATTTTGGTGTGTGGGCAGCCAGAATAATATTGCTGGAAAAATACTTAGGAAATCTTGTCTGTATGCCTTTAAGATTTCATGAGAGTGTGCCGGGTTGTTTTGGATGAGGTGACAAATTTCGGCGAGGATTGTAATTTTAGGGTTTGAAACACCTTTCCATCTCCAAGCTACAATTCAGACAAGATGTGGGACAGGAATTTTTTTGTGCTTCATCATGTCCAGATTCAACTATGTACTCGTTTCACAAACAAAGAAGGTTCAGCCAGATGGCTGGTCTTGCTTGTATTTTTAGCTGTATCTCCGAGCTTCTGTAACCATTTGTGGGGAGGTAGATCAGAGCTAAGCCATGTCCCTAGTTGCTGAAAGGTGAGATTCATATTTCGGTTAAATGGAATTTCCGGTACTTCGCAGGTTTCAGACATGAAGTGAAGTTGTTTCACATGTATTTTTTTACTCACATAAGAAAGCAAACCGATTTTCAGTAGCCCTTTAAAGTAAAAATCCAGCTTTGAAAAATATCCTTCTCACTTAAAAGATCTGATAGTTTCCACACCATACACTTGAAATTAGTCAATCTTGCTATTTTCTCAGACATACTGATACCCAAGGAATTTTCCACTTTGCAATTTGGTGCCAAAATTTTAAAGATATTATTATCACCAGACAAGAGTATCATAGATGCTCTTCAAAAAATTAAGCCTTATCTTCATCATTCCCTTTCTTCAGATAGGAATTTGCACACCTGTAGGCCCCGGGGAATTCTTGAGTGATGAAATCAAGGGTGGAAGGGATGCAAATGGTATGTATCAGTCCATGAAATTCTAGACAATATAAGTGAGACACCTGCACTTTGGATCTATCTTTTAACTTGGATTCATCTTGTGCTTTTCTTTCAGATTTGCCTAGGTTTAATTCTAAAGATTCATGTAAGCCACAAGGGGGTAAGTCAAATGAGAATTCCTGCATAAATTTTTCAACAAGTTCTGAATTTTACTTGTTCATCTAGACTCAAAACAACTGGAAGATTGGGACTCAATGATCAAATCAGTTAAAAATATGGAGAATGACTATGTTAAAACAAAGATGCATGAATTTGAATATAGTGACTGCAACATAATCAAGGAATCAATTGATGAATTGAATAGTTGCCACAATCAAATTGAGCATGTCTTTGGATCTCCAACTCTTAGAAAAACTTGGGCCCATCCAGGAATACAGGAGGCCAGGTATTTGGAACTTGCTTTGGAAGAATACAAGCAATCAATATTGAATCTGTTATCAATCATACAGAGCCCTGTAAAATTACCAATAGGACTTCATCATCTACTGGTGGCTCAAAATAACTGTATCTTAGAAACTTTGAACTACATACGCAGATACAAACTTGTTGAATCTGATATCATTCAAAAATTTCAGATCCCTTTTTCAAGTGTCCTTGGTTTGGAGTGGTTTGACCAAATGTCTAAAGATGTATTCAAAAAAGGTTCTGAGCTTGACAATCCATATTTTTTCCGTCCATTTGAAGAAAGCCACCTGAAATACCATTTCCACCTGCCTCATTTTTACAATTTATTCAAAGGTGAGTGCATCATATTCATGATTTTTTTAAATATTTCCTAGAAGAAATATTCATTTTGAAACAATCTTCTGATTTTTTTATTTCACTTTCAAATGGACTAAAAACATTTTTCCAATAGATCTTGACAAAAAGCAGCAGGATTTTATTTTGTTTCTTTATATGGTCAAAAGATATGGGGATGAAAAAGGGGATGAATGTTTGAAAGATGAACCAATTTCAGATGAATTCAATTTTGACAACTCAACAATTGAGCAGATTCAATTTTTACGCAAAATGAGGAAATTTCTTGTGAAGGAGTTAGAAAACACCAACATTCAAGAGCCTCCAAGAAGGAATTTTTTTTTAAAAATGAAAGATGATTTGATGAAACTGAGGAAGGATATAATTGAAGCAAACTTGAATCCTGACAATGTGGAAACATGGGACCTGATCCACTGGAAATTTGACACTCTACATCTCATTCATGAGAGATTTGGCTCAGATTACATGGAAGAACCAGAATTTGAGGAATACAATGAGAATAGGGAGGAATTTAAATTAAAATATGAATTGCTATCCTTGGCTACAAGGGTTTTAATTTGGAGAGATATGCTGGAAGATTATTCTCATTATAGTTCAAAATTTATGACTGAGGGTAAAACTCATGAGGTACCTGAACAAGCCCGCAAAGAAATTGGGATGGTCTATTGGAGAAAGCTGAGGGAAGATGTTTATGCTTTCAAAAAACTAGAGGCACATCCTTTCTGGGAAGAAAAAATAAAGGGTAGTATTTTTTACAGCAAGCTCATAGCTATCTATTATGACAAAATAGAGGAATTGCCTGAAATTTACTTCAAATTCAAATTCTTAGCAAATATTGAATCTATTTAGGACAAAGGAATCAAGTTCTCAGTTTATCTTATAGATTCTTTGACAGTGTCTGAATTCACTTTTCTCTCAATTATTTGAATGGGGAAAAATCTCATTTTTTCAATTCATAGAGTATCAAATTCTGTTCTCTGTTGGTTGGTTCATACATTACAAAATTTCACTCAAAACCCCACATGGAAATTACATACAATATAAAAATATTTCACCAAACTGGTGGCAGTTGACATGCAGGTTACTCCCTATGTAGCTTATGTCATACTTTAATCTATTCCTATGTAACAATTTCTGCACATTAACTGTGCAAGGTGCACAGCGGCTTTGAATTGAAGTATTGCTGAGGTAATGGTCAAGTAACATCTGAGTAACAACCCAACTTTGAAGAGAGTTTCAGTATGTCAACTGGCTGCAGTTCCTTGAGATTTTTTCACAGTGACACCTTCTGAAGCCAAGTTCTGTAAATTTTCCTTGCAATACATGATAAATTGCTCTACATGTTTTTTATCCTTTCTCTAGCAACACTGGTTTTCTAATTTACGCTGCACTATCTGCATTTTCCCAGTAAACTAACATAGTGGAATTTACCCCTTCCAAAATTATCTGCAGTGGGAAATTGTTCACTCAGCCAGTAGTGTTATGATTAAGTATTTGTCTTCAGGAGATAGATAAAGTAATGCATTATCACATTATCCAGAGTTTAAGCAACCCTATACACATGTTAAGTGGCACAAAGCCTCTCCTTTTGGCCTTTGGCAGAAACAGATGCCATAAATTTCCAAAAAGCATCATATATCTTACAAATATTAAGTTTCTTTTTTCAAAAAAAAGTTCTACAAGTTGCTGATAGTGTAATGAGCATGAAAAAAAAAATCAATAGATAATGTAATGAGCAAAAGTTTTCCAAAAATCATGGAGAAAATAATGATAGTGAGTGGAAAAATCTCTGCCTTATCTTTATGCTACCATTACAGGTAATGTAGCTACCCAGTGTTGGCTTTAACTATGTTCACATTTTTTGTTTTCTTCTCCAGTTTTCTGGTTTCTTCTTCTTTTTCTTCTGCTTGGCAATGCATACTAAGCGTATTCAAAGGTGGAACTCAAATGCATCATCATAAATTGATAGATAATTTTTGTTTATAGATGAATTGAGACATGGATTGTGTAAGCAGTTCTGTGAACAAAAAATAATTTATGGATTAATGTTTATATTTATACTTCAATGCACCAACTTTGAACACCACTACTTTACAATTCTTGTAAATTCTATTTTGAATTTTATCTTTGTCATTTTTTTCTTCTTAAAAATTGTAGAATTGTCAATCTTTATGACTTGAAGGGAAAAGTAGCCATATCAATGCATTGATTCTTATGATACCACAAAACTGATTAAGCCTCAAGAGGAATAAAATTCCAAATTGCATTTCTGAGTTGATCATACACTCTTAAGCAGTGTAGTAAATTAAAAAAACTCATGATAGGCACATAATTTTGAGTACCACAGTAGCTTGCCTATAAACATAGGGTTATGCGGTTAGAGTTGTGTCTGTGTTGAATGTATAGCAACAATTTCCATAACCTCCACTGGAAAACGATTTGTGAGAGGGCTTCAAGATGTTTATTATGGCCCGGAGCCCTGTGAAAGCTAGGGTCACTGGACTGGATCATCTTCAAGAAAAAGTGCGCTGGTGCGGGGCGAGCGCACTTTGGCGGGCCGGTGGGGGTGGCGCCGACGGCGCTGTCTTCCGCGACCGCCGGGTCCTCCTTACCGCATCTTCGGGTGGGCACGGGGCCGGCAGCGCTGTTGAACCAAAGGGTGGGTGTTGGTCTTTGGATGGCACCAAAATCAATCCAGGTCGACCATGAGCATTTTGCTGACCTCCTCCTTCATTCCTACTTCCATCAGATATAATACCAGCTGGTCGAAAAATCTGGTAGCAAAGCAAACCGTACTAGCACGATTTGCATGCCAGCCGATTTCGATAAGAACATTCCACTCGAGTAAGATGGCCAACAATCACAGCCAGCAAGTCGTATCACTTGTCTCGCCTCAAGAGGTCCAAGCCCATGGCATCAAAAACTACAAAGTCTTGGATGGCTCCTTCCATCTGCCCAATTCCGGCCGATCAGTTCTGGACGAGTTCAAGAAAGGACCGAGACTTCCTCATGCCAGATTGTTCGACCATGAAACTATTGCCGATACTTCCTATACAATCGACGGTACTGGCACCAAACTCGGACACATGCAGCCCGATCTGACGACCTTTAAACGTGAGGTGGAGCGCTTGGGTCTTACTCGGAACGACCATATACTCGTGTACGATTCCGTTGGCATCTTCTCGGCTCCTCGGGCTGCTTGGCTTTTGAATGTAAGCAGAGAAATATCTCATTCCATTCAAAAGTTTTGGCAAATTCTGACTCTTGGCATGGTCTACTCATCTTTTCTGTACAGGCTTATGGCCACCCTCAGGTCTCCGTTCTTGATGGCGGCTTGCCCCGATGGATTAAAGAAGAATGTCCGGTGGAAACCGGGTCGCCGGTCGATCCAGAGCCGTCGGAGTACACGCTTCCGGGATTCGACGAGGCTCTTGCGCGAGGGAAGGTGATCTCATACGACGATCTTGTCCGGAACTTCAAGGAAACCGCTGAAGAAGAACGGATGAGTGTTTTTGATGCACGTCCTCGAGGCAGGCAAGTACAAATAATCCACAAATGGAGATAACCAACGGGTGTTTCAATCAAGGTAGTTTTGATAGTGTACTGATTAAACTAGAACATCCCATCCCGTAGGTTTCTCGGCGCTGATCCCGAGCCAAGGCCAGGATTATCATCAGGCCACATGCCGCATGCGCTCTCGCTGCCATTCACATCCTTATTAACCCAGCCGAGCGACGCGGAGCCCTACCGGAAATATCTGAGCCCCGACAAGCTCGAGAAAGTATTTCTCGAGACCCTCAATCATGACCATCAGAAATGGGAACAGATCAAAGCCGGCCAAAAAGGGGTCGTCGTCAGTTGTGGTAGCGGGATGACCGCATGTATCATCTGGCTCGCCATTCGTCTCTGCTCTCCTACGGCCGCTAACCGTGTCACACTTTATGACGAAAGTTGGGACCGGTTACGCACTCAGGAAAGACGCCCAAATCATCAAAGACTCTCCAACAACATCCTGATTGTCACGTTCTTCTTCTTTTTTTGAGAAAAAATAGGGTTTAAAGTATACGCCTGTTGCGTAACATTACAAAAAACCCACATTGCAAATGAAATGTCTCATGTTCCAAATATCATGTATTCTCACGTGTTCTGATTGTCTTATTCTTCTTATAGCTATGATGTACTGTTGATCTTCCTCCTTGCATAAAACAAGTTGCAATTTCTCCCAGATTATGAAGAAGAAAAAATGTCCATGGGAAAACTGTTACATACCAAAAAAAGGTTTGATGACTTTGACCCCCTGGCCTTACAAAACATGTGGGGTCTGGTAGCTGGATTGATATGCACACAAGAGCAAGTTACTTTCAACCTCAAGCTTAACTAAGCTGTCCATGCCAGTGGAGGCCTATGACAGATGCGGCAACACAGTGGGAGGTCCAACAGGCAGCCAACTGACATTTCAATTACTTTTTTTTCTTGCTCAAGCAAACCTTTTATTTTTATTTTTTGTAAAAAGTTGCAAGCATTGTTGGGTAGGCTGTATACCATTGTGGTGTTCAAAATCTGAATTTTGGCTGACTCATTAGGTTCATGTAGCCCTTCAAGAATTCCAAGCCAAACATCAATAAAGATTTTAGGAAGTGTCATGATTCCAGATCTTGTGATGCTCCCACCAAAATACTACAAACTCAGGACTCGAGTTTGTCAGACTAACTTAGCTAAGTCCCTGCCCTCCTTTGTTGGAGTGGTAAGAGCATCTCCAATGGTCTGGGAGGCAGTTGACGTGTGTTTCCCGGCCCGCAATCACATTTCACAGAGTCCCCGGGTCTGCTCCAATTGTGGACTGGCTCTTGATGGCTATGTATCCTATGAACCCCTCTGCCCCAACACTAGTCAACCAAGCCTCCCCCACCACTAGTCAATCAATTTTGGCACCATGGACATCCTCTGATGGATGGACAACAATGACAATCTCCTGTTTTGATTCTCACTTGTTCCTTTAACTCATCTTTTGCTTTTAAGTTGATTATGATAGGGGCTTGGTTAAACGACTCCCAAAAAGTGAGAGCTGACTCCAAGCCCCGGATTCCCCAAAAAATGGAGTTGACCCCAAACCATTGATTGTTGGGATCGACTCCCT